ATCTCTAGTTCCAGCTCCTGCCAACCTAGCAGTTTGAAAGCAAAAAATTGCAAGTAGATAAATAGGGACCACTTTGGTGGGAAGGTAACAGCGTTCCGTGCACCTTGGTGTTTAGTCACGCCGGCCACATGACCATGGAAATGTCTTCGGACAGCGCTGGCTCTTCGGCTTTGAAACGGAGATGAGCACCGCAACCCTAGAGTCGGATTCGACTGGCTTTCGAGCAAGGGAACCTTTACCTTTACCTTTACTCTGCATATATATTAAATAAGCAAGGCGACAATATACATCCTTGTCGTACTCCTTTTCTTATGCTAAACCAATCAGTTGTTCCATATCTGGTTCTAACTGTCGCTTCTTGGCCCTTATACAGGTTTCTCAAGAGACATGTGAGGTGGTCTGGTACGCCCATCTCTTTAAGGACCTGCCATAGTTTGTTGTGATCCACACAGTCAAAGGCTTTAGCATAGTCAATGAAGCAGAAGTAGATGTTTTTCTGGTACTCTCTTGCTTTCTCCATAATCCAGCGAATGTTGGCAATTTGATCTCTAGTTCCTCTACCTCTTCGAAACCCAGCTTGTACTTCTGGCAGTTCTCTACCATGTACTGTTGAAGCCTAGCTTGTAGGATCTTGAGCATGACCTTGCTAGCATGTGATATGAGTGCAATTGTGCGATAGTTTGAACATTCCTTGGCATTGCCCTTCTTTGGGATTGGAATGTATACTGACCTTTTCCAATCCTGTGGCCACTGTTGCGTTTTCCAAATTTGCTGGCAAGTTGAGTGCAGTATGGTTTTTAAACTCCTCATGAATGTTGCTTAGATTGTATTTTGGCACGATGAATGTTTTGGTGTTTGAATTTTCTTCAGCTTTATTCTAATTTTTGATATTAACAATTTATGGTCTGTACTATAATCAGATCCTGGTCTTGTTGTAGCGGAGAGAACAGAGTTTCTCCATCTTCAGCTTCCATTATATATTCTGTTTGATTTCTGTATTGGCCATCCATTGATGTCCACATATACAATTGTCTGTTCAGTTGCTTGAAACATGTAATTGTAGTCTTTGCAGAATTCTGTTATTCACTCTCCTGCTTCATTTTGTGCTCCTTGCTCAGGTCTTCCAACAATATTTGATTCTGTTTTTTTTCCTACTTTTTCATTCCTGTCACCTGTGATTATAAGCACATCTTCGTTAGGTTGCTTCCTGGACACTGGCATAAAAGCTTTTAGTTTCTTCGTCATCAGCATCTGTAGTTGAGGATTTCTGTATTGGCCATCCATTGATGTCCACATATACAATTGTCTGTTCAGTTGCTTGAAACATGTAATTGTAGTCCTTGCAGAATTCTGTTATTCATTCTCCTGCTTCATTTTGTGCTCCTTGCTCAAGTCTTCCAACAATATTTGATTCTGTTTTGTTTCCTACTTTTGCATTCCTGTCACCTGTGATTATAAGCACATCTGGTTTAGGTATGAGACCAGTTGCTTCCTGGATACTTGCATAAAAGCTTTTAGTTTCTTCCTCATCAGCATCTGTAGTTGGGGTGTTGAATGATGGTTATATTGATGGGCTTTCCATGAAGTCTGATTGATATTATTTGGTCAGACTTTGCATTAGAGCCCTGCCTGCTTGTGCAACATCTTACTTCACTATTAGAGCAACTCCATTTCTTCTGTGTCTGTCATTCTCTGAGTTAAAACAATTCAGCACATCATCAACCACTCACAACCTCTACTGGATAATGACAGTTCTCTCACACAAGTACTGGGGGACAAACCTTTTCTTGCGCACAGACAGCCCACCAATCTTAAACGACTCCTTGCCCACAATAATACAACATCTAATATGAACATGGACACCAGTACCAGAGCTTGCCATAAACCCAGATGTCAGCTTTGCTGTGACAACACAGCCAGTGACAACACAGTCACTGGACCTAATAACATGAAGTACACAGTCTCAGGCTCATTCACTTGCTCATCTTCTAACATTGTATATGCCATTAAATGCCAACAGTGCCCTTGATTTCTCTACATCAAGAATCACAAAACTGAGAAACCTGTAAGAGAACACTTCAACCCCCCAGGGAGCCCACCAATCTTAAACAACTCCTCGCCCACAATAATACAACATCTAATATGAACATGGACACCAGTACCAGAGCTTGCCATAAACCCAGATGTCAGCTTTGCTGTGACAACACAGTCACTGGACCTAATAACATGAAGTACACCATCTCAGGCTCATTCACTTGCTCATCTTCTAACATTGTATATGCCATTAAATGCCAACAGTGCCCTTCATTTCTCTACATCAAGAATCACAAAACTGAGACTCCTGTAAGAGAACGCTTCAACCTCCCAGGGCACTCAATGGGGGACCTCAAAGTAGCTGTTGACTCTAACTAGCCCTTCCTGGCAACTAAACACCCCCCACCCTCTGTGGCTATGGAATTCTGTTTCAGTGTATCTAAAGAAGCGCGCATGCCCACAAAAACTTATACCAAAAAGTAAACTTCATTGGTCTTAAAGGTTCCGCTGGACTAAATGTTTCTTCAGTTTTGTCGATGAGGAAAAAAATAGGCTTCAACTATCAAATACTTAGGAAATACTATTCTCGGGCCTATATGCTATGGCAATAAACATAAATAACCTGGTTATGGAGGAACGTTTCTACCTCTGTCATGATGGTGAGCTGAGGAGCAAGCTTGTATAAGCCATTGTAATGGGCCCCAGGTTGTGGAGGTCCAAACTATTCTCTGGGGACTAACCACTCTCCCAGGTGGTTACACTGCCTCAAACTGAGCAAATAATACAAGTGCCCATAAAACCCAGGCAAACCTGCCCACAGCCTTCTCTAGAGGAGAGTGAGCTGCTGCTCCCCCCCCCCGGTGGTTTGGGGAGACATGTGCCTCCCTGAAGGAGCCACTGATCACCTAGCAGGTCTCCTCCAACAAGGCCCCACCACCCAGGTACTAGCACTGTGTCCTGCAATGGACAGCCACAGCCCTGCCATTATGAACCACATGGAGGAGAGGGTACCAAGGAGGGACTGAGACTGGAATTGTCAGGAGGAAGTTGTGTAGGATGGAGCAAAGGGGAAATGATGGTGACATGTGGCCTGTCTTGGTATTTTTTTTCTCTTCTTTCTTTTTGTCCCAGTCTCAAGCTTCTCTTCTTTCTTTTTGTCCAGTCTCAATCTTCTCTTCTTTCTTTTTGTCCCAGTCTCATCGTGGGATTTGTGAGCCGCAAGCGTGAGAGGCATTTGCTGAAGCAGAAGCGGGCAGGTACCTTCCTGCTGCGGTTCAGTGAGACAACCCGGGATGGCGGCATCACCTGTACCTGGGTGGAATACAACAATGATGGTGCGTTCTTGATGCTCTTGTGCCATGCCCCATTTCCCCCCATACTTTGTCTAAGGCATTCTTTGGTGACTGCAACATGTTGAGGGTGCAGTAGTTGAGGGCATGCATGAACCAGGCTGAGGATTTTCCAAAATGCAGTGGTCTTTATACCCACCACTTTTATACTGTGTCTGTCCAATGCAGGCAAATAAGCTAAAATAAACTTCATGGAGCCACAGGAATCTCTCTTTGCCTTTTGGCTACCAACTTGTGTGCAAACTTTACAGGGTCCCCAAAGATCCACTCGGTCGTGCCCTACACCAAGACCGAGCTGAAGTCCTTAGCGCTGCCTGACATTATCCATGACTACCAGCTCTTCGCAGAGGAGGACATGCCTGAGAATCCACTCAAGTTCCTCTACCCTGACACTCCCCGGAATGAAGCTTTTGGTCCTTACTACAGTGAACGTCGGGAAGGTAGTAATGCATGGCAGCTTCTTCATTGCCTTTCTCGTACAGTTTTATGATGTGCTGTTTTCATACATACGAACAGGGCTATGGGTATTCTGCTCTTCTGTAGTTGCTGAGTGAGGGTTTAGCATCCTAGGACTCTCATGGGGGAGATGGGGTTATATATGACTGCCAAGATGAAGATCTACAAAACACCTCAGTGTTCACTGTGTTTTACAGAGCAAAGGTGGAAGGGAGGTCCTTGCTCAAAGGAGCTTTGCAAGCATTGGGTGAAGACGGCTGTAACACAAAGATTAAGGCTCTCCATGGATTTTCCAGCTGTAGTGCAGGCCCAGTTTTGCAACTGTGAAACAGCTCATTTGCGTGCCAATGAATGGCCTGTCAGCTTTAGGGGTGTGCAAAAAAAAATCTTTTTCAGGTTCAGTTAGATTAAAGCTGAAAAATATTGGTATTCCTGAATTCCAAATACTGGTATGGTTTTCAGATTGGGGAGGGGGGGAAGTTGAGTTTCTGAATTTTTCAGATCCATTATTCCATAGGGTAATTTTTTCCAGGTGCTGGGGAGGGTTGATTTTAAAGATACAGGCACCAAAATTGTGGTGGAGCTGCTGGTACCTGTCCTTTAAATAACCCCCAAGTTTCAGTGTGCAGAAAACTCTGAAGGAAACACAAAGCAGTGCCAGCAAAGGAAAAAAAACCCTCTTGAAACTGACACAACAGCACACCTGAAATTGACAAAAGCAGCCTGGAAAGCCCATAGAACTCCCCCCCCAACACAGAAACAAAGCCAGGTGGGGAGAAAAGAAAAAAACAATCTCTGGGTGCCTGCAATTGCTGGTTCCCAATCTTCCCAGTAAAGTCAGAATATTTCTGAGATGTGTAGGGACCATTTGGAAGGGGGGTTCTGAAAAATTCCCAGCTGTTTGGGATGCCAAATATACCCCAAAATACCTTATCAATATTTTTAGGGTATATTTTTGGCTCAGGTGTATCTGAATGCACACCCTCAGCCAGCTTGTTCTTCCTCCTATGCTTCAAGAAGGCTGTCTGCATTTTAAAAAACATATATTTTTTAAAACTATTTATTCTTCACACTATTAGTCACAAACACTTTTTCAATATGCAAGGAAGAGGCACTAGCCAATAAATACTGTCTCTAGCTTGCTTCTGTTGCCAACCTGTCAACACTGGAGAAATAAGTATATCTGTATTTAACGCAGTGAGGGTGCTTCTTAAGTAGCTTCTTCTGGTCCAAAAATATTTCTTTATTTCCAGTTGAAGTTGGTCAGATAAGATTGAATATATGTGAGCCATGTCTTGTGAAATCCTAGAAAACCAGGGACTTGTGAGGGAGGGGGCTGAAGTAAGTTTGTCGTATTTATTGTCCATCTCTCTCAATGAGGAGTACAATTATAAAATTATAAAGCAATGTAAGAGACCAGTACTTACAAGAAAGAGTGCTATAAAGTAGAAAATGATGAAGTAAAGACAAAATGCATCCAATGAATAGTGCAGTATGGGGGCTGGGGTGGTGGGGAGGGCCATTATTCTCCGTAGCCCTCAGCTATCACTAGCAGAGTAAATTGCTGAATTGTGTTTGCATGATGACCTATTTCAAGGGCCTTTTTCAATATGGGTAACTGCCTTGTAAACTTTTGACATAGTATACTCCTCTAGTATAGTATATGCAAAGCATTATTCATGGATAGTGATCCATGATACTGATCTGAGCAATATGTGCTTGCATTTGGCTGGAGAGGGGAGCTAATGTAGATGGTACTATCTTCCACCCATACACTCCATTTTTGTTTCCTTTCTCAGGTGACCTGACAGAGCAGAAGAAATATCTGGGACGCCGCTTGATCAGAGTCTCCTCTAGGTGAGCAGTAGGATGTGCAAAAAAACCAAACAAAAACACCACGGTGTTTTTTAAAATTTGAGTGTACTGAACCTGGAAAATATTTGTATTTCCCAGTATTCCTGAATCCCAATATCTTTCACGTTCACTCACTTGCAGCGTGGCTTGCAAAAGTCATTTAAAGGGAAAGTTCCCTTTAAATGGCTTTTCCAAGCCACGCTCGAGTGAACTCAAAGTGGGGCGAGTTCCCTGCAGGCTCGGCTAGGGCTCTGCTGGGCAGACCGCCATCAGAAAGGAGGGAGGGAAGATCCTTTTCCTTTCTGCTGACCTTGGGGAGAGTTCTTTCCACAGGATTGGCTCCTGGGAGGGTACTGTTGGGCACTCCAGTTTCAACTGGGCAGCCCAGCAGAGCTCCAGCCGAGTCTGCGGGGAGAGTTCTCCCCGCAGGATCATCTCCTTTGCAGGCTCTGTTGGGCAGTCTGTTTTAAACTGGGCTGCCCAGCAGAGCCCCAGCTCAGCCTGCAGGCAAGGGAGAATCAGATGGGGTGGTGCGGTGCTGACATCTCCATGCCACTTCAGTTGGGGCTGGTTCACCCGAATAAAAGCCAAAAAAAAAAAATCAGCTTTTTTCGGTCTGAGCCATATCAATAGCGTATTTGGCTTTAATAAATACCTGAAAAATACTAATAAGGTATTTTTCGGGTATTTATTCAATTTGGTTTATACCAAACGCACATCCCTAGTGAGCAGTGTCATATTTTCCCATCTCCACCACTCGCTATGTTTCTTCTCTCCAGTTTCTCTTGGATTACCATGGATCCACCTTCCAACTTCTGTTGTTTCATATATGGGAGAGAGTAGGGCTGCCCCTGAAGCCATGAACCCAGCCTCATCCCTCTGGGCTTAGAAGTCTCCTCTGCAAACCTTTTATTTTGGCATATGACCATTAGCATCCAAACTTACAACTGCTTCTGAAATTGGGTAGGATGGATCAAACCAATCTCACAGAGCTCTGCAGTAGAAAATTTACATGACTGCTCTGGCATGTTTGTTCTTCTACATTCTGCCATTACAGTGTCTGAAAAATCCGTTCATAACAAAATAGACAGTTTGCCCCGTCATTCTACATTCTGGCATAGAGGGCCAAATTTTGGGACAGTCCTATGTAATTTGTTTGAATTACACAAGTTGAACACATTTGTTTGTAACTGTTGTTTTGTATCCAAAGTAGGGTTTGCTCTTTTTTTCTGGTTTATATTTGTCAAAAGTCTCAATTATTCTAAAGTTCTTGCCTAGAAAATCCCTTTCATGTTAATGAAACCATGTCATATTTTAAAAATTTTAAAGTTCAGTGCAGTATGTATATCCTAAATAAAAAGCCCACTCTTTGCCTGATGGAAAGTGGATGAGGCTGCTGCAGAAAGAGATTTGGTTATCTGAAGAGCCGGGTGGAGGAGGGAGATGGAGCATGGTAAGGGTTTTTTTCAGCTACTGTATTTTTAAAGGTGCCTTTTCTAGTGTGTTGGAGGAAGATTTCGGGAGGCCCTTTGGCTCAGTAGTGGATTATCTGCTTGGCACACAGAAGGTCCCAGATTCAGTCCCTAGTATCTCCAGCTGAACAGGACCAGGCCAGAGGTGAAGTGGAAGACCTCTGCCTGAGACGGTAGAGAGGCGCTGCAGGTGTGACTTTGATGGACCAGTGGATTGATTTAATATAAGGCAGCTTCATGCGTGTGTTCAAGATTGTTTTGTAGTTCTGAAGTAAACAATTTAGTTTTGCAAGAAGATTTTAACAGTGTCATCCAAAGCAGGTCTACTAGGAATCCTACTCAGGTCAGGTCTATTCAGTGGGGCTTACTCCCAGGAAAGTGTTATTAGTAGGGGTGTGCAAAAAAAAAAAATTGGCCTGATTCAGATTCGGCCGAATCAGGCAGAATCAATTTCAGCTGGCATAAAGACTCCTGCATGTCAGATTCAGGAGTCTCCCAGCTGAATGTCAGTTTCAGCCCCATTATATCCTATGGGCCATTGAAGTCAATGGCAAAATAGGGTATATTCTGGGGGCTGGAGGGGAGGGGGTTTGAGGGAGAGGCTCCAAACTCGCAGGTTAGCTGCTGGAGCCTCTCCCCAAGATACCACCCAAGCTTCAAGAACATTGGACCTGGGGGTCCAATTCTACGGGCCCCCAAACAGGTTGCACCTATCCCCTCCATTGTTCTCTATGGTGGGAAAAAAGTTACTTTTTCCCCACCATAGAGAACAATGGAGGGGATGGGGCAACCTGTTTGGGGGCCCGTAGAATTGGACCCCCTGGTTCAAGTTCTTCACACTTGGGTGGTATCTTGGGGGAGAGGCTCCAGCAGCTACCCTGTGAGTTTGGAGCCTCTCCCTCAAACCCCCTCCCCTCCAGCCCCCAGAATATACCCTATGTTTTTGCCATTGACTTCAATGGCCCATAGGATATAATGGGGCCGAATTGCCACCAAAATTAGGTGGCAATTCGGTGGCAAGCCGATTCAGATCAGAGAATCTGAATCGGCCTGCAGCATCCTAAAAGGGATCTGAATGGGCCATTTTTGGGGGTGCATTCGATTTGGACGAACCGAATGCACATCCCTAGTTATTAGGATGGCACTGTAAAGCCCTCACCATTTAGCAGATGCTCTCAGACAAAAGGAAAAAAAGGTCAATGAAGGCTGCCACTGTAAGTTTCCACAACATTTGAGTAGTGCACACAGTGTACGACTTGATATTCTTGCTCCCATATTTATTTTTAAGGCTTATTTAGATATCTGTACTCTGTTTTTCTCGGCAGTGGTGACCCAGAGATGCTTACAGCAATTGTTCTTTCCTTCTCCATTTTACCCTCACTATGACAGCATGATAATGTTTTAAATAAAATAAATAAAACCCTGTGAGGTGGGTTAGGCTGTGAGTCGGTGACTGGCCCAAGGGCACCAGCAGGCTTTCATGACAAAGCAGGGATTTGAACCCAGGTCTCCCAGATTCTAGTCAGACACTCTCACCACTACGGTTCTCTGGTCCTAGCAGCATAAGCTCCATGCAACTACTCTTACTTTTCTTCTTCTGTATGTTCTTTGAAATTGGCAGTGCTACTGTATCCGTTCCCTCCAACGTCTTCCATGTCTTTGTGCATTTCAACCATACCTATGTAATTTCCTTATAGGAAAAGGTATTATATTTAATGTCAGGGTAGAATGTATTCTGTTCTTGTTGCACAAAATGTGGAAGACGGGTATCTGAGCCACATTCGCACATCACTGGATATTGTGCTGTCATTAAGCTGTGTCAGTCATTTGCCTCCTCTCTTGACCTGTCCACACAGTTCTGAAAGATTTCTATAGCTCACCAATAGAGTATCCAGCTATATGTGAATGCAGCCCTGGTACTGTGAGAAATTTATCTTTCATTTCCTAACAGGGAAAAGCATATGTTTACAACTTTGTGGGTAGTGCCTTGTTGGTCCCAGGTTCAATCTTTGTAACCTCCCACTTAAGAAGAGAGGAAGAAGAGGAGAAGAGATTGGATTATACCCTGCCCTTCACTTGGTGTCTCAGAGCAGCTTACAAACTCCTTTCCGTTCCCCTCCCCTCCTCACAACAGACACCCTGTGAGGTAGGTGGGGCTGAGAGAGCTCTGAGAGAACTGTCCTTGAGAGAACAGCTCTGACAGAACTATGGCTTGCCCAAGGTCATCCAGCAGCTGCATGTGGAGGAGTGGGGAATCAAACCCGGTTCTCCCAGATTAGATTCTGCGCACTTAACCACTGCACCAAACTTTAAAAGGGTACTGCTGCATAGACCAATAATCTGGCAGTAGAAGCCATCTTCTTGTAACTGCATGTTATAAGAAACACAAGACCACTGCTGAAAATGGAAGCCCTGCATCAAGTTCTGTCCCTCTTGTGTAGCTCCTTATGCAGTGATGTCATTATGCCTAACATTTTCCCTACTTCTGTTTCAAATCATTGGTTGTTTCTGTGTGCAGAGGAAGTGCTTAGTGTAATGATATGAAGACTTGAGGTAAACTACATTACATAAGGCTCACAGCAACCCAGCATTTATTGCTTTATAACATCTAGTTCTGTCCATTTTATCTTAAGCCGGAAGTCAAACAGGGATTTCTGTGTTCAAGGAGTAGGGCTGTCCTTGTCCCTCCTCCATGGGTGCTCTTCCCTATTTATATCATTTATCCTGATAGACTTGGGAATTTTTTGGTGCAGAATTCACAGTTTTCTTTTTGTACTAAACTGAAGTGTACCCATCTGCCCACTATCCATCTAGGCAACAGGATGAGCCCCGTGTTCTGGAGGTGAGCCCAGAGGAGCCCAGCATTCTGGAGGTGAGCCCAGAGGAGCCCCGCATTCTGGAGGTGAGCCCAGAGGAGCCCCACATTCTGGAGGTGAGCCCAGAGGAGCCCCGCATTCTGGAGGTGAGCCCAGTGGAACCCCGCATTCTGGAAGTGAGCCCAGAGGAGCCCCGCATTCTGGAAATGAACCCAGAGGAGTCCTGTGTTCCGGAAGTGAACAATGAATTCCTCCCTGATAACATGGATGCAGTCAATGCCTTATTCGGAAACTTTATGCTTGACAGGAATGGTGAGTGATGGTACTCAGGGCAAGTTTGAAGATGGAATATGATAATGAGTGCAGAGTTCTCTCCTGGGACTACAGTTGCAGTGAGGCATTTCAGTTCTCAACCCCATTCTCTACAACAGAACCCCTTTTTCTCCCCTTCAATGCCTAGCTCCCTTCCTAGATCCTTCCAGTCCGGTTTTCGCCCGGGTCATGGGACGGAGACGGCTTTGGTCGCCCTGACTGACGACCTCCGTAGGCATCTGGATCAAGGCGGTGTGGCAGCATTGCTGTTGTTAGATCTGTCGGCCGCTTTTGATACGGTCGACCATCAGCTGCTGGCCCACCGCCTTGCCGACGGGATTCAGGGGCTCGCCCTTCAATGGTTTGCCTCGTTCCTGCAAGGTCGGGGACAAAGGGTGGCGATAGGGGAACAGCAGTCCCGGAGGCATCCGCTTGAGTGTGGGGTGCCTCAGGGGGTGGTACTGTCCCTGATGTTATTTAACATCTATATGCGCCCCCTTACCCAGATTGCCCGGAGGTTTGGGCTTGGGTGTCATCAATATGCAGATGACATCCAGCTCTATCTGATGTTGGGCGGCCAGTCGAACTCCGACCCAGATGACCTTCATCGGGCACTTCAAGCTGTGGCTGGTTGGCTCAGACTGAGTCGGCTGAAGTTAAACCCGGCGAAGACGGAGGTCCTGGGCCTAAGTCGGGTCGGTTCGGGGTTGGGGCTCCCTCTCCCGGCCTTCGATGGGGCGCCACTCGTGCCGGTGTCGAGGGTTAGGAGTTTGGGAGTGCTCCTGGACTCCACCTTATCGATGGAGGCCCAGGTGGCAGCCACTGCCAAGTCAGCCTTTTACCATCTTCGGCTGGTGCGGCAGTTGGTTCCTTACCTTGACCGCGATGCCTATAGCATACCGGATTCGCTTCAAAGTGCTGGTTCTTACCTATAAAGCCCTTGATGGCCGGGGTCCAGCGTACCTAAGGGACCACCTTTCTCCATACGTTCCCCCAAGAGCGCTACGGTTGGGGTCGCAGCACCTATTGATGGTTCCCAGCCCCAAGGACATCAAGCTGGCTGCAACCAGGGCCAGGGCTTTTTCGGCAGCGGCTCCTGTCTGGTGGAACGAGCTCCCAGAGCAGGTTCGGGCCCTGCGGGACCTGGCGCAGTTCCCCAGGGCTTGCAAGACGGAGTTCTTCCGCCAGGCCTTTGTATAGGAGCCGCCACCGTCACTGTACCACCACCGAGCTGCCATCTTTGACGGTGGATTAGATCTGGAGGTGAACGGGCCCTGGGCAGACACCTAGGTAACCAAAGAATGCATGCTGTCAGGTTAGGTTGATGAATGAACTCATCTTGGATTGAGAAAAATTTTAACATCAAGAGCACCGCACTTTACTTAATGATTGTTTTTACTGTGTAATGATTGTTTTATGATGTTTTAACTGTTGTTATGGCAATTGCCTTTGTTGTAGCAACCCTGAGCCTGCTGGGGAGGGTGGGGTATAAATTAAACAAATAAATAAATAAATAGCTGATGTTCTCTTTCTCCCCATTTTTTTCTCCAGACCCCTTCCTTCCACCACCAGGCGAGGAGGAGCTGTTCGAGTATCCTGATCTCTTTAAACTACCAAATGAGATGCCAGAGCTGAATTTGAATGAAGAAGATTTTTGTTTGACCCCACAGCCGGAATAACGAGACGGACAACAGTTTGGATCAAACAAGGGCCACTTTATTAACTATATACAATTTATTAACAGCAACCGGCAAGGGAGCACTTCCTAGGTAGCGGAACAGACAAGGCAGGTGTCAGGCTGACTAGCCTCCTTGTCTGATATGTGGGCGAGCCACCAACCCCAGTCTTGGGCCATTAATCTCCCGTCGCCCCCTGGCACAGGCCTGGGTTCCATGTCTGCTGCCTCTGAAGTGGAAGAGTGACCGTCTTCGAGCCACGGCAAACGCGCCAACATCTGGGCTTGGAAGGAAGAAATGTCAGGCTTTTTAGCCTTCTTGGGTTGTGGCGGGGGGGGGGATCGCCTGCTGCTGCGTGGCCCTCAGTTTCTCAAGGGCTTCTATCCTGGCTAAAATAGCTGCATTAATCATCATCAGGCCCCGGCAGTGCCGGTTGAGGCAGAGGTTTCTTCGTTACCGGCCGGCCCCGGCAGTGCCGGTTGAGGCACCGGTTGAGGCGGAGGTTTCTTCGTTACCGGCCTTCTGCCTGTCGCCTTGCCCTGCCCTTTTTTAGGCGCCATTGCTCAAGCCTTATTACTTGTCCCCTGGAAACTGCCTAGCTATCCACTTGCTAGTCCTGCACCCAAGCTGCAGGTTGGGGGGGGGAGCTATTTGGTCCGGCACCGGTGCCCCTCAGCCCCGTGGAACTCTGACTTGCACCGTGTCCAGTCGGCCTCCTAAGGTCGCAGCTCAGAGCAAAAACAGCTCTGAGAGAACCCTTGACTGACAAAGGATCACCCCAGCAGCCTCCTGTGGAAGAGCAAGTGACCACCCCGTTTTCCCCGATAAGAGCCCGTGCTCCTAACCACTCGCCCCAAACTGGCTGAAACCCTTTATCACTGGAGCCCATGCGGCTCAAGGAACAAAGCCACCGGCCGCCAGCCCCCAGGTAACAAAGGGGGGGCAATAAAAGGCCTCTGTGCAATAAGCCGAATAAAAGAAAGGCCAAGCAAAGGCTATACCAGTGAGCTGCCGCCGCCCTGAACAAAGAGTTTCTCTCGGCCTCCGGCCTGTAAATTGGCCCCCAATAAAACGGCTGCCGGCCTCTCAGCTACACCAAACGGCATCCAGTGTAGCACCTACCTTCGAGCAGAGCTCCGCTAGAGGGGGGGCTCCCAACTGAAATGGCCGTTGGCAGCCAAAAGGCAATCCAGGGGGGGGAGTATTTCCTAAATGCAGAAAAGGAGGGGGGCTTCCCTGCAAACTAGATAAGAATAACCCAGGTTTGGCGAAACGAAGCCCTTTTTTAACGGCCTTGCTGGACCGGGCTACTGTACCCCCCTGAACAACGGCCTTGGCGGGGGGGGGATAGAAAGAACCCCCACAGCCTCCCAGCCCTGGACCTCTCGCAATCCCTCCGCCGCCCCGACCTAGCCCGACATCTTCAAAGCCCCAAGCCCCAGAAACCGCTTCAGCGAGTGCTCCCGCCCTGAATACTCCCTGGCGTACCGGTGACTCACGTGGGGGGCAGGTACTTCCAAAGTTAAGACGGCAGAGGAAGAGGGATGGGAACCGAAGCGGCTCCTAGTTGAAGGCCCTACCGTGGGAGAGAATGAGAGCCCCGCGGCCATGCTGCCCTTGGGCGCCGCCGCGATCCCCTCTACCGCCCCGACCCAGACCTTACAGAACAACAAAGCCCCCTGGCCCCCAAGAGAAACCACCTCCCCGCTATCACGATTCAACAGGCCCCGCTGCCGGCTACTCCCTGCATCGGCGGCTCTTTGTTGTAAGCCGCCCGAGCTCCCCCAGGCCTACTCTGCTCATAGCCACCGCACAGCACTCTCCAGCCACCGCGCCTGGATGACCGCACGATCGCTTGCCCTCTGCTGCTGCTCGCCGCTGCTGCCACGACCGCCCAACTCGCCGCACAGGCCCGGGAGACACGGCAGCACCTCGACACTACCTCCTGACTCAGGCGAGCAGGAGGCAGCAACTGGCCTAGGGGTGGGAGCGGAGCCGAGCCTAGCAAGGCTGGCTCCACCCACCCCATGTCCCAGCACTCTGCGCTGGGACGCTGTTGCTGTCCCGCCTTCCCCACGGCGGCAAACCAGCCCCCGGCCGCCATTGCCTTCGGCGGCGACCGGGAGCTCCCTTACAGGCTTGTTCACAGGCTTTCAGTCAAAAACATTTTCATCAGTAGGGAATTACGATGTTGGCTTCCTACTGTTAAGGATCCATTTCCATCCATCCAACAAACAAAAATGTCTCTTCTTGTGTCCAGCAAAAATAGGGGCTTTCTTATTAATTGTCTTGAGGAAGATGCTGAATTGGTTGAGAATTTGAGCTTGTATGGTTGACTTGAAGGTCTGAATGAGTGGTATGGGAGGGCCGTGAATGGTAACATGCAGTGTGATCCTGAGGAGTCAATGGTCCCCATAGGCTATAATTGAGAATTGATCTGGTGGTATCTGGGGCTCAAGGGTGCTGTTTTTTGAAGTAGAGGCACAAAATTTGCAGCATAGCTGCTGGTGTCTCTGCTCAACCCCCCCCCACCACCAATTTTCAAAAAGAGTGGGCCAGGGGTCCAATTCAGTGCGCCCCAGAAGAAGGTTCCCCCATCCTCCATTGATAAAAGGCATTTAAAGGGATTTTGGTCCCTTTAAATGCCTTCTCCAAGCTGTACAATTCCACAGCGAAAGTCCAAAGGTGTTTAAAGGGCTCGCAGCTCCCTTTAAACACCCTCTTCAAGTGGCGAGTTCACCCAGAAGGTGTTTAAAGGGACTGTGAGCCCTTTAAATGCTTTCCAAGTGAACTCACCACAGGGTCATGCAGCTTGGAGGTGTTTAAAAGGACCACAATCCCTTTAAATGCTGTTTAAGTTTGGCTCTACAGTGGCCCTAAAAATCCCAAACATTTTTGGCATTTTCACACTGAAATGCAGTCCCATTCAATAATCAACTTTTAAAGGGTGTTTTTTTTGGCTCAATACGAACACACACCTCTAGTAGGTAGTGGTGCTTGAAAAGTATAATTTGGATGTCGTAAAAGACAAATAAGAGCTTTGGAATTGTCTGTGAATGAAGAGTTTCCTGACTGGCAGGATCAGATTTTGGGGGGGTCTTGAGCAGTGTTCCCTCTAAGCTGAGTTAGTGTGAGCTAGCTCACAGCTTTTTAGCTTCTGGCTCACACATTTTTGTCTTAGCTCAGGAAGGATGTGGCTCCAGAGCAAACCAATTTATGCAGCAGCCAAATCGCTCGCTCACAACTTTAATGCCAGTAGCTCACCAAGTACAATTTTTGTTCACAAGACCCCACAGCGTAGAGGGAGCATTGGCCTTGAGGTGTTGAATGTATACTGCTAGAGCTGGTAATTAGGGATGAGCATGAACCAGGAAAAGGGAGGTTTGTCCCGGCTCATGAGGGCCCATGAACCACAAACCGGAATGAAACACCCTCCCCCCCATTTTGCAAACTGGTTCAGGTTCATGAGGTTTGTGGATCTTCCCTCCCTCCTTTCTGCTGGTGGGAGTTCCCTGACCTGGTTTGGAGCTCTCCTTTCCTTTTTCCCAGTTCCCCCCTTTTACACTTCTGTGCCTCCTGCCACCTAATGCTATGCCTTGGGCATGCCAAGAGATGTGAAGGCCTGGAAAAATTCGGGGAAAAAACAGTTTTTTTCTGTTTCTTTCCTGAAGCCTTTTTTGGGTTTTTTTTCTGAAAATTTTGGAAAAATTGAAAAAAGAAAAGAAAAGAAATGATTATGGAACATGATGAATAACATATTTTAAGACAAGGTGTTCAAATATTTTCCAAATCATTTCTAAAAAATATGTATGGTATCAGATTAATCTAACTTCTGTGCACTGAGGACAAGCAAGTCCTAGGTTACAAACTGAACTCTCCAATGGATAATGGCAGACACAACAGAGTAGCTGCAGAAGCAGAGACTAAAACTGATACTGATAATTACAGCTAGAAAATGATTCTGATTAAATTTCATGCCCATTCATTGAAACTCAGTCCCACACTTCCCCCATCTTCAATTCTTTTTATGAGAATTTTTTTTAATTATTTAATACTGTGGAGAGGAAATATAAATAATTACTTCTGGAGGGTTTTTTGTCTGTTCCACATAAGCTAGTAAGCAGTTCAGGAGATTGTTGCTCCATTTGTTGCAATTACAAATAAATATTATTAAAAAAGCAAATTCTGTTTGTATGCTAGTTGTGATAATTTCATGCCAAGTAAAATTGTCCATAATCATATTTTATGTTCCTAAAGTAACAGAATGACTTTTAATCTGGAAAAGAAAAAAGAAATGCTAATGTAGCAAAAAATTTTTCAATTTTTCCAAAAATTTCCAGTTTTTTCCTGAAAAAAACGTTTTTTTTCTGAGCTTCAAAATTTCTGGAAATTTTACATCTCTAGGCATGCCCTTTGGGTGGGCTCCTTCCCCTGGCCCCATAGGCCGGACCACCAGAATTCCAACCCCCAACCCCCCTGACTGGGGCTCTCCTTCCCTTTTTGAACCGTGGCCTGCTGCCACCACATGCAACACCCCTTTGGGTGGGTTCCTTCCCCTGGTCTCCCTCTACTGATTCCATGGGTCACTTCTCCCCATCCCACTTCCATGAAAGATATGCTCCTTCCCTGTTTCCTATCAGCCCATAAACTATGGGTCTCCCAGGCTATTGGCACCCACCTGCTGGGCTCTGGCCAATCTCCCAGCCACCCGTCATCTCCTCCCTAGCCTGTTCCACCTCTACTGCCTTCAGTTCCTGCTCCAGAGCATCCAAACCCCGGGGCAAATGATCCACCATTTGCCTTCCTCTCCATGATTTCAAACACGAGCTCCCAGAGGCGCCCCACTTTCTCCATGGAGTCCATCTCCCCTCACCACCACCTCAGCATCCTGGATACCCTCCTCCTCCTAGATAGCCATCTCTTGCACCTCCAAACAGTCTTGCCACAACAATATCTTGCAAAAGCCATTTAAAAGGAACGTTCCCTTTAAATGGCTTTTACTAGCCGCATCATATGCACGAGTGAAGTCCAAGCAGCAAGTATACCCAGAAGTG